GAATCTCCTGTCTCTGCTTCCCAAAGCTGAGATGACAGACACCTGGTTTATGCACTGCTGGGGCATGCTAATCAGACACTTTGGTAAGCATAAGCAGTGCCCCTGTCCCTTGTTTATCTACTCAGAGAGCCAACTCAGCTTCACCGAATCTTTCCTATTTCATTCATTTCTGCCCTCATCTTAATTCTTTCTTTCCCGCTACTGCTTTTGGATTTGGCTTGTTCTTACTTCTTCAGGACTCTTATAGTGCATTGTTATTTATTTGAGAACCTCTGCTTCCCCCCCCCCCAATATGGCCATGTTTAGCTTAGAAATGCTGTTGTTTGTCCCATAGGTATTATTTAGTATGTTATGCTTTCCTTTTGCTTTGATTCTATCAATCTTTTATAGCCTTTTTTATTTTCATTGACTATGTAATATTCAATGGTGTGTTGTTGAATTTTCACAAGTTTATATGCTCTATAGTCTCTCTCGCTATTGACTTTTAGCTTTTAGCATTGTGATCAAAATGAAGTTATTTTAATTTCATGTTTGTTAAGGCTTTCTGTGCTATTATGATCTGTTATGGTCTGTTTTAGAGTCAGCTTCACAGGTTGCCGAGAATGTCTCTTCTGAAGTATTGGATGGACTGTTGTGTAGGTTTCTACTGATGTCTGATGTCATTTTCTCAGGGGTTTATTTTTTGTCGAGCTGACCTGTTGGTGAGAAAGGGGCGTTGGCGTCATCCACTGTACACTGGTGTTCATTGGTGACTTTATTTATTTGCCTGTGGTTTGGAGGGGGGCATGCATGTGCTAGTGTGCACCCGCATGCATGCCTGTGCTGGCTCGACCCTTGATATTGGTGTCTCTCTCAGTCACTCACACTTCACTTATTGCTGAAGCTAGAGAGCACCAGTAATGGCAACTACTCTGTCTAGGCAGTTTGCCTTGGGGGTCCCCGCTCTGCCTCCAGACTGCTGGGGTTACAGGCAAGACTGCATCTGTCTGGCTTGTGGGCTGGGACTGGGGTTCCATACTCCAGTGCTGCTACTTTGGCAAGCACTTTATCTGCTGAGCCTTCTCGGGACCCCCTAAACTTCGACTTCACATTTAGCTGTTTTCATTTCATGAAATGGGCGCACATGTCAGCTGGTGCATAGAATCCAGAATTGCCTTCTTGTTGCCTTTTGACTGTCTGGCTCTGTCAGGAATTAGAACAGTGGCTCTTGGCTGGCTTACAATTCCATTTGTTTGAAATACCTTTTCTATCCTTTCACCCCATGGTATCATCTGTTTAGAGTGGCACATTTCTTGGAGGCAACAAACAAATGGATCTTTATTTTGACCCCAAACTGCTCATCTGTGTTTTTTGATTGGGGGAATTGGGAGCCTTACTGTTCAGAGTTATTGAGAAGATACGTATCGATCGCATCACTTTGAAGTGTTCAGTGTTTTCCTAATCTTCATTTGTTTTACTGCAGTTGCAGCATTTATTTTTTTTTTTTCCATAGCTTCTGTATATGTTTGTTTTCTTCAGTGTAAAAAATTCTTTCCAGTGTCTTCTGCTAACATGGCTTAGCAGTCTTGGGAAAGTTGGGTCTGTCCGTGGCATGGTGTGTACCCTCTAACCCCTCCCCCCTTCAGCAGTGGCAGTTTACTGGGTATCTTAGGGTTCCTATTGCTGGAGATGCCATTGTTAGTATTTAGTCAGCCTGCTTCTGGGTTGTAACCTGTGATGCCTAGTAACCTAGTTGTAACCTAGTTACAACCTAGTTACTAGGTTGTAACCTAGTAACCTGTGATGCCAACATGTGTCCCCTGCCAGGTGGTAGCACCTAGCAGGCGTGTTTCAGTTCCTCCATAAAAGGATCAACCCGCCACTTGGTGGCTCTCTTACTCTCTTGCCTTCTTGCTCTTGAGCCCTCTTCCTCTCTCCAGCTCTCTCCCCTTTCTCTGTCGGGGCAGCCCTTCCCCTCCCATTATCATGGCTCACTCTCCTCTCTCTTCATCTCCTCTTTCATATAATATTATAATATATGTTACGCATCATCATTTCAGCCATGTCTATGGCAGCGCTTACAAAGAAAAGCATTTCATTGGGGCTTAGAGGTCAGAGATCTAGTCCAATTATTGTCATGGCAGGAAACACAGTGGCACACAGGCAGATGTGCTGCAGGAGTGGAAAATTCCACATTTTGATACAAAGGCAGCAGGAAGAAAGTGAGCCACTGCACCTAGCTTGACCTTTCCTTTCCTTCCTTTTCCTTTCCCTTCCCTTTCCTTTCCCTTCCCTTCCCTTCTTTCCTTTCCTTAAACCCTATTTGTCCTCCTTGCTCCCCTTCAAATTCATGACCTTTTCTTCATTGTTATTGTATGCATATGTGTATATACATATATATTCCAAAGTATAAACTGCTTAGTCTATATAATGTTTTTAACCTTTATTTACATTTTAAGGGCTGGCCATTTGGCACTAGACAACCAATTATTTTGTGTTCTTCCCTGGGAAGGACTTAGCCCCAGCTTTCCACAGTTGCCTGTAGTTCTTTGTGTAGGGTTGAGGCCTTGTGGGCTTTTCCTTGTCTAGTTTTGTCTGTTGGTGTTGTCATTCAACTCAACAGTCAGGCAGTAATGTTGGTGAGTATTTGTGTAACTTCTGACACTACTAGGAGACACATAATCACAGCAAACTCCCAGGTCCTCTGGTTTCTACAATCTTTCTGCTTTTCTCTTCTTTAATGTTCCTTGAGCCTTAAGTGTAGGAGTGTTTTGTAAATATAGCCGTTGTGACTGGGCTCTACTACAACTCTGCATTTTGAGTGGGTATATTTTCTATAACTGTCTCTGTCTGTTGCAGAGTTGTTTTCTTGTTGAGGGGTAAAAATTGCACTGATCTGTGGGTATAAAGACAAATGTTTACAGATTTTTGTTAGGGATTATGATGGTTTGGCAAATTAGCATGTAGGTTTTCCTTCCATAATTACTAGCACTAAGTAGTTAGCTAGGTTTCCAGTACTGGGCATAACCCTCTTGTTGAGTAGGTCTTAAGTCTAATTAGAGAACTGTTGTTTACTGCCAAGGTATGTTTGCCAGTATTGCACCCTTTGAGTTATCATTGTCATGCTGGTTATTGATGCGGTTTTGTCATAGCTGTGTAGGACTTTGGAAGCTCTCATGGTGCCTTCTAATTGTGTGATATTCTGTAAGTCACTGCTAAACCCAGTGGTCCAGGGTCTTCTCATCTAGTTTATAGATCTCACATTTGTGTGTCTTACAGAGAGTTGATTTTGGTGTCTGGTGTAAAATATGGGTCTAGTTTCATGCTTTGGTATGTGGAATTCAGATTTTTTTTTCCTGAGATAATTCCCTGATTGCATGCTCTTTCTCAGTGTTCTGGTGTTCACTTGGGTCCAACACAACGCGAACACCACACCAGTGTATAGAAGGTTACTGTAATCAAGCCACTATTGATCAGTCACATGCAGAAGAGTCCTAGTGTAAGCTGAACTGCAACCCGCATGAGCTAGAATGCTGCAGAGCTTTTAAAGCACAAAAATCACAGAAGCCACAATCATCTGGGCCAAGTTAGTTATATTTTCCACCACTCAGATTCAGGGATAGAGGACTTTCCTGGGAACATTGCTTTTTGGTGCACTTACCCTGTTTTCATTGTTTGTTTTGCTCAGCCATGATGGGGCAACCTCCCCAGCATTCATGTCTCAGCTTGCCGACCAGGGTGCTACTTATCCAGGGAGGTCTTGGGAGCTTCAACTTTGTTTGACCCCTATTCAAAATGGAAGTTTTATTCAAAATGGTTTCTGTTGCTTCCTTCTTACATCACTATGCCCACTTGGTGCTCTTGTCAACAATTATTCTGAACTTCCCATTTTGGTCCATTTATCTTTTTTGTTAGCATCACACCTTTTTCCTTTAGAATGTTTTATTTTTATTATTTACAGGTTTGGCTCTTTTGTCTAAGTGTATATCTGTCCACCAGTGTGCATGCCTGGCGCCTGAGGTTAGAAAAAGGCATTAAATTTCCCAGAACTAGTTACAGAGGTTTGTGAACCTCTGTTGATGCTGGGTATTAATTCTGGGTCCTCTGGAAGAGCAGCTAGTGTTCTGAGACAACTTTCCAGCCCACCATATTGTTGACCATTGTAGCTTTGTAATAATTTGTTCTTTCTTAAGACAGTTCTCACTGTTGCTTAGGCTGATCTCAAACTTTGGGCTTAAATGATCCTTCTGCCTAAGCCTCATAAGCTGGGATAACAAGAAATGAGTCATGGTACCCAGCTTGTATTTCAAATCAGGGAGTGTCCAACTTTCCTCAGAAGTGATCTGGCCATTTTTTTCTATTTCTATATGAATTTAGGATTGTTCTTTATCTAAATAATACCCCTAGGATGCTGATGGCAGTTGCATTGAATCTGTATTCATATGAATTGTGTGCACATTCTGATAAGATGATTTATTTTAATTCAGAGGATATCCTTCCATGTATTTTCATCTTCTGTTTCTTTGATCAGCATTTTCTGACTTTGTTTTTTTGCCTAGACCAGGCTGGCCTGAAGTTATCAAGATCTGCCTGCCTTTATGTCCAGAGTGCTGGGTTTAAATGTGTACAGCACTAAGTCTAGCTCAAAAATTTTCAAAACGTTTGTTGTATTTCTAATCAAGCAATTTTTGTTAAAGCATTAAAAATTTGTTTAAAGAATAAGACACAGCTAGACGGTGGCACTACCTTTTTAAAAAAATTTATTTCAGTTTATTTACATTCCAAGGGTGCCCCTTTCCTTCCCTCCTCCCAGATCCCCCTTTCCCTTCCCCTCTCCCTTTTTCCCCAAGAAAAGGGGAGCTTCCTTCCCCCAGAGTTTTAATCTCAGAACGCAGGAGGCAGAGGTAGGAGGAACTCTGTGAGTTTGAGGCCAGCCTGGTCTACATAGTGATTCCAAGACATCCAGGGCTACACAGAGAAACCCTGTCTCAAACTAACATAAGAAAAAGACACATTAAGAGTCTGAGAGTTTAAAGTATAATTATGTAAAGTTAAATGGCACATGATTGGGATTACATTAAATTCAATTAATCTGAAGTTTATATTTACATTTTCAGTAAATATATTTACATTTGCATTGCACTCATGCAGTGGTAAGAAGCACTGGTTTTTGTTTTTAAATGTCCTTTTGAGAAATTCAAGAGAATTTTGCTAAAGTTGCTACCTACTCTTTGAATATATGATACTTTAACAGTTTAAGAAAGCTAAAGCCTAGGAAATTTAAATAATATTTGTGATATACAAAACATATACAAATATATATATATATATGTATACTGACATGTACATATGTGTGTATTATATCTAGTAGTTGTATCTGGGTTTTGCCTATCTTTGAAATGAGGGTTGTGGTAGCTTTAAGGGTCCATGGGTGTTCGGGAAGGCTCCTGCTCTTATGGGATGTCAAATGTGTTGTTACATGGCTTGGCAGCAAAAAGTGTAGCCTGTAAAGGAACCGTGGGTTCAAAGTCTTGACCTTGGCTTGTATCGGAAGACTGATCTTCAGGGATGTTAATCGTGGTATCTTGGTTTATATCAAGAAACTCTCTCTCTTCTTGGATATCACTCATGATATCTTCATATAGGCTGTCTATAGAAAGTGGACTTGGTGAAGTAACTGTGTGTCCAAAGCCTTGGTACAGGCCCACTGGTGAGGATGTCTTTGAACCACCAGAAACTGCACCTTGTGATGATGAAGAAAGCAGGCTTGAATGTTCGGTATGATCCGGGTCTCCAGGAAAACACTTTTTTTTGGGATAACCTCGCATTGTCCTCCCTTTAAGACAATATAAATTTATTAGCAAACAGTTATTTTTACCATTCTAAACATACTCTAAAAATGGCTTTCCCCTTTGTTTTCCCTGAATTTGAAGAACCTACACCATGGTACTTTAAATATTTTCTTATTTCTTAAATAACTACTGAGTGGCCATGGTAGGAGAAATACAATAACCTACATATTAGGACTAGAGGCAGTACTGCAGTCGGTAAAGCGGTTGTCACACAAACACAAAGCACCTGAGTTTAGTCCTCAGCATAGGTAAAAAGCCTGGCATGGTTTTGTGTTGCTTTTGGTCAGAGACAGGAGGATCCCTGGGCCTCTCTGGCCAGCCATCCTCCTAGCTGAGTCTGTGAGCCCCTGGGCAGTGAGAGACCTGTCCTAAAGCCAAGTGGAACAGCTGAAGAATCACATCTGAGGTTCCTCCCTGGCCTCCCCATGCGCGCGTGCACAGACACACACACACACACACACACACACACACACACACACACACACACACACACA